AACCAACCACACAAGCTGGAACAACACAAAAATCAGTAACAACAAGAAGAACAAGAAACTTACTAGCGCCACGGGATTCCCGACATTTGATTTGTGTTGTTTGCCCTTTGTTTGGGTCTTGGATCATGAGAGAACCTTGAGAGACTGTTTTTAGGGTTATAAGGTCTGAATATACTGAAAAATAATGACTTAAAACGGGGTTGAGGTATCTTATATATGTCCATATGTCTTAAACCGCCTTTGTGGGCCCCATAGAGAGCAGCTTGGCGCACTCTCGCGAAAACGCGAATATCTCTCTATTCCAAGATCGTATCGACAAATGGTTTAATGAGTTAGAAACTAGACTCATAGATCTTCAATTTGATAGGTAGATCACCCCATAATTCCAAGCACATTGGGAGAAAAATGCAATAACATTTGACCTAAAGTTTAAGTAAAATTATAAACGTAAGTTGCGACAACTTTTATCGACTTTTATTTCATAACTCGTTTGATTTCAAGACTTATGATACGGATATTATATGATTCAAATAAATTAAAACATGACCTCTTGGGACAGTTAATCACCTCTAGTGTTACCCGAAAATACGGGTTACAACATCCTTGATTCGTTTAACTTCAAATACTTGTTAACCACTCTTATACACCCTTGTATCGTTTAAGACCAATAGGATTAAATTCTTATCATCTCAAAGATAATTTCTTCTTGGATTTACGTCGACTAACTTATGACGTGATCTAAGGTACGCGAATGTGGGTTGTAACAACATGAGAATATTGTAAAAGAGCCATTAACTGAGAATATTGTTGCTTGGTTAAACCAGGTACCAATGAACCTTGTGCATCATTGTTAGTAGTTCCACCAACAGAAAGAGAAGGAGAATTTGTACAATCATTAGAAGAAAAATCTATTCCAATAGTTATATTTCCTGCAATTTTCTTCCCTTTGGTGAATTTGAAATCAGGAGGGAAACCATAAAGCTTGAAGCATTTATAAATTAAGTGTCTCTCTTCTTACAATATCTGCAGAATATATTCCCTTTGGCTTGATCAAAGTTCACTTTTTGGACATATTGTCTCTGAGTGTTGGAACAAGGAGGCTTATAATTTGTGTTGGGACTAGACTGATGGTTGATTTTGGCAGTGAAGGCAGCTGAATTAGGACCAAATTGAGAATTGGAATTGATCTGCCTCTGCCTTTCATCTTGAAGAAGAATGTTATATGCACTGTCTTGTGTTGGAGGTGGTTGCATCATGAGCAAGTTGCTCCTGACACTAACATAGACTGCATTCAGTCCCATGAGAAACTGATGAAGTCTATCCTCCTCCTCCTCTTTGAGAATACCTTCCTTTGCACCACAAGTTTAGTGATTTCCATGACTTTTACGAACAACTCTCAATTCATTCCACAATTTTTTTAATTTGTTAAAGTACGAGGCAATATTTAGGTAACCTTGATAGTAGAGGCAAGCTCTGTCTTAATTTCAAAGTCTTTAGTTCCACTTACAATCTCATATCTTTTATTTAAGTATCTCCATATTTCTTCAGTTGTTTCAGAATACTGGACACTATCCGCAATATCAGGAGATAAAGAACTTGTTAACCATGAAATTACCATGTTATTACATCTGTCCCACTGCTTAGACTCGATAGAATTATCAGGAGGTTTAGGCAAACTACCATCAACAAACGCAACTTTGTTCCTAGCAGACAAAGAAACAATGCTACTCCTTTTCCAACTCCCAAAATTCGTCTCAGAGAAAGGAACTGGTACAAGTGAAATACCAGGGACATCTGAAGACTAAACAAACAAGGGACTAGAGGGTTTGGGAATCGATTGGGATTTGAGAAATTGTATTAGGGTTTATGTAAGAGAGAAGAGAGAAGAAAAGATCTTTCTAGATCTGATTTGGAGAGATTGACCCCGGTGGGGCTGATCCGGGTTGTACCTTCTTATTATATAGGGCCCAAAATATAAAATGACTAATACAATATAAATCTAAACAAACTAACTACTAAAATATAAATGGGCCACTTCCATAATTACAATAGGCGCAATTACAAGTAAAATAAATAGAAGGCTATTCTGATCAGTCTTTCTTTTTGGTCCCAGATACCAATTAGTCCATGAGTACAACATTTGTCTCATTACTTCCATTATTATGTGGTATGAACAATTACTACAATCTTGAAGAATTAGTGACAACAAATCATAAAATACACGAATTGTGAGGCAAACTTTTGAAAGGCAACCTGAGACCTGTTGCAAGTAATTTTATATCACGTTCAACGATGGCAGAGGGTGTCAAAAGACAGTGTTATGTCGCAACTTGCAACAGTTTCTCTTTGACAGAATCTTTGAGGCATTGTGATTCATCACTCAAAGAGATACACAGTGGAACGACACTAGATTATGAAAGGTTGTCTTCAAACGTGTTATGACATGGTTTTCGAACTCAAATAACTGTTGGCTATTTCTTGGGGAGAATAGAAAAGCCAACAATTCTCTATTAGTGGAATTGTCGAATTGCAACTCTGAGGCAATAAATAAGGAAGAAAATGGTAAAGACCGGGTTCTATTTTCTTAACCTTACGTATTATTTATTTATGAATTTCTATCCTTTGTTTGTTTTTTTGTGAAATTTATTCTTATAGGATAGATGTCTATTATGTGATGATTCATATTATAAATTGTATGCGTGATTTGAATAATATAGTTTTAAAGGTTAATTTTATTATTCCTTGACCAAATAAAAAATATTTAATTTGGTAACATGCATAATATATGTGAAAGATTATTTTCAAGGTTGTAAGACATGAATTAGGTTTACACTAACTCTTGGAAATATTTTGAGATCATGAACATAATATATGTAAAGGTGTACATATATTTGTTTGATTAGCATAAAAGATCAAACTATTTAAAAATTACTCCTATAATGGTTTAATTGGAAAGCCATTTGAAAATAAAATCAAAATACTTGTGATTTTATACCCCTAGTTTGGAGAGTAAAGTCTTTGTGACTTTCGACTCAATTATCGGAGATTAAAGATTTCGTGACTTTCTACTTTGGATAGAGATTAAAGACTAAGTGATTTTCTACTCGTTTTGGAGATTAAAATCTTAGTGATTTCTACTCCAATTTGTTATTCGGTTTGAAGATTAAAAACTTTACTGTTTATTAGATTTGGTATCAGATATTACTCGGTTAGAAGGTTAAAAACCTTATCGTGTATTAATTCTGGTTAGGTCAGATCGGTTTGAAGATTAAAAACTTCACCATTTATTTTGGCTTTGTCGTGACACAAATAACAGTTCTTGTGGTTGGCTCTACAAAGTAATAGGAGCGGCGAATATGAATCTCCTTTTGAAGAAATATGTTTGGAATATGGCATTATTCACCAAACGACTGCCCCTTACTCACCGCAATCTAATAAAATTGCAGAAAGAAAGAATAGAACATTAAATAATATGATAAATACCTTGTTAATAAGTTCTGATTTACCCTAGAACTTGTGGGGGGGGGGGGGGGG